AATAATTTAATAAACAACGGTCGTCATCTTGCACCGAGCACATGGTAGAACTAAGGCCGTAAAGTGTCATGGTTGATTACGTACATGTAGGCATGCAATGCGGACGTACTCTTAATCTCGCTAATACATCAACATACTCTGCTCTCTAATTATAGCTCGAGACTTCTTTCCCACATTTTCTCAAACCTTTCCTTCCAATCGCTTTCTATGTTCTCCCGTTTTCTCTTTGCTTTCTTGGTAGACTTTGGCCTTGCTCCCTCGTTCAGTTTTCGCTTGTATCGTCCTAAAGTGCAGCTGCTACCAGCAGAATCTTCCCCGCCACTTTGCTCTTCCTTACTTTCGGTGTCTTCACAAGTTTCACTGGCAGGAGAATTTCTTCGCTCGCTGAAGGTGGTGGTTGTTTCGATGTGCATCTTCGAAGGATCCACGCTGTCCCATTGACCGATGATCGAATCCATGTTATCAAAGAAGGAGAAACCTTGTTTTATCTTCTTGATACCCTCTTTGCCCGTCCTCTGAATTCGTACTTTTAAGTTTTTAAACTCGTACTCGAGGTTTTGAACCTTTTCTTGAGTTGGGACAGCGTTCTGACACTTTCAACATACCGCTTCTCGTATTTGTTATATTTGTTGTATATTTCACTCCAGATTCTCGCCCACTCTTTCGTCCACACGAGTGACCACGAGTGACCACGAATGCCACGAATGACCACGAGTGAAAAAGCGGGGAAAAGTTAATCATAAACTAGAATAAAATAATAATAATAAGAAAATATAACAGTGAATTTAATGGGAAATATTAAAGGAAAAATAACTATAGCCCTCACTCATTAAAAACCCCGAATAAAAGGGAAAAAGTTGAATGCTCTGATATTTCCGTTTTTCGAACCATTTATCGACATTGTGCATGACACGTGATTTTATTGTTTTTCTGAAAGCTCATAACAAGATCTAAATTTCTGTTAAGTTCGAATTTGATTTTTTCCTTGTATTCTAATAAGTGAAGTCTAGTTGTCAACGCTTCATTCATGGTTTGACCTTTCAGTCGTCGACTGAAGTAACGCAATCGTATCCTTTTGCCGCAAAAAATAACTTTTGAAAATGTTTTAAGGATCTAATTAAATTAATATATTAATTATATTATATATATTTTTTTTATTAAGTAGTCATTCAAAAAGCTTAAAATGTCTCTCAAATGCTGGGAATTTGAGCTCATCCAACTTCCGTTCAATGTTTGCTTTTACGTGCTCAAAGCTAAGGAGATACACGGTACCCAATGTCTCAGATAAGATGCCATTGTACACAGCGCTATCTTCGTCCGTTCAAAGAACCTTCAGCTTTTCGTGAGCAGGACATCCTCGTTTTACGGCTTGCCAAAAGTGCTGGAATTCATCTTGGCCCTTGCTGCGGTGTACTAGTAAGGGTCCTGGAAACCACGGATGTTTCCCTGTGCTTTTTGTCACGAGGCTTAAGTTCATGTATGCTGTCTAAGTAAAGTAATATTCATTAATATTAAACGTTATATCGACCACAAAAGGACAACTTCCCCAATCAGTTGTACAAAACCTCTCGACATCCTTCATCGTTTGAGTGAGATATGCTACGATGGAAGGCTGGTTACAGTGGCGAAGAATGAACTCTTGTATATAAGGCTGTGACCTGTCTAAAATACTGGAAGTACACTCAGTACTCTGGTTGAGTAACTCCATTATTATATCCTTGATGTCGTCACCTTTCTTTATTCTTGAATCTCCATAGTCATACCTGTAAATAAATATAGATATGTATAAATATGCACATTTAAATATATATAAGTGAAAGAATCAAAGAGGACGCATCGATTCTCTGTTACTCTGAGTTTCGCGCCTAAGCGCTCGTCAGACAGAACTTTCGTATATACTACAACTATATATACTCAGCTCTGCTACCACGGCATTGAGCATTTACACATTTAAATATATATATTTAACAATTATTCACGAAATCGAGTCGACGAAGCCGAGCGACGAGATCGAAGCATTTTGTTTAGTTTTACTCACGGTACATCAAAGCGCGATTGTTCTTATTCAGTACATGTACAGTACACATCCACCCACACTTTGATCCCCATACAAAGTAATAGTGTACATGTACAGACACCAACCCACAATTTGATCTTAAAGAGTAACAGTGTACACTTCGATCTTAAAAACCACCCACACTTTAAAATACTAACAAGGTTATTCTTTGGTCTAGCATGGTAAAATCACCACTCTATTCTTCATTAAGCTGATGGTGTACGTACCTGCAATTTGTAACCTGCTTAGGATCTCTGATAACTGAACAATCTGAGTCAGCATCAAGAATGTCAATCTGCTCCGTGAACTCTTGAGCAATAATTCTTGGTGCTCTTCTGTCAGTACCTGCCTTCGTTCTGCATTCAACTTTTAATGAATGTTCTCGAGGCCCGAACTCTGTTGCTGTTGACCCTGGCTTGACATTTCCATGAGTGTCCCCATGGACACATACGTTCTCACTACCTTTAAAATAGTAGTATACAATCAAGAATGGACAGGTTAGATGATAAGTGCCGAGATCTTTTAACTTTCCATTTACTTTGTTATGGTCCATAAGTGGCATCAAATAGTTGATCACTCTTGTAAAACAAGAACCCTCTTCAGCTTTTGTCTCTTTATGGACAGCTTTCCAACTGATCACGGCATAAACATTGTTGATATTTGCGACCTTGGCATTCCGTCCCGTGGAGTCCTCACGTTGTATGTCCCTGAAACAACATTTCCTTGTGCGTCGCGGGACACATGTACCTCGGTGCTGATTTCAAACTCTTCAGGATCTTTGTTGAAAATTTCGAAGAAACGAACTCTGTCCTTTTTCACAAATGTGAAAATATTATTATTATCATTATTATTATTATCATTATTATTATTGCTATTATTATTATTATTATTATTATTATCATTATTATTATTATAGACACAAGACGTGTGCAGACAGGGAAATCAACATCTTGTCCCAGCCAAGAAAAAAGGGTGATTTCATCAGCCTTGCTAGCGACTCCACCTGCCATACGTGGGACTGTTGGAGAAATAAAGGAGAGGCTAAAGATCTACTCTTCATCCCTCAAATCCAGATTTATCCTGGATAACATAAAGGCTGATAAAATCCATTTCCGAAGTTTGAAAGACAGCCATCCTTTGAAAGTACGCTGTGCGCCGACGATGAACTGATATATGCTGCGAGGAAGGACATCCAAGTGATTGTCTCTTTTCAAGTGGAAAAGGATGGTATCGGGCTGAGAGGGGTAAACATGCAAGAAATCAAGAGGTATGGGTATTCATGGCAAAAGAACTACAGCATGTGTCTGCATGTGGGATGCATTTTCCTGTCACATTGCGAGGAAAATTTCTCTGGAAGAAGTTCAACTGAATGATGAGCCATGCATGTTGACAAGTTTTGGCTCACAAATTAATCCCTTCTGGTAACCAAAACCGGGCATCTCTGTGTACGATCAAGAATAATGGAGAGGTCGAAGTAGAATGGAGAATTGCCATTCCTCTGTTCATATCAAACAAGTGAACATGTCCATGATGTAGTATGCTAAATCCTTTGAACTTACCATGAAAGAATCAGTTAAAAGGGTGACACAATGGGCCGCGTTTTATCAAACAAGTAGAAAGTCATGGTACCCTAAACCAGAGGAGACAATACCATTTTGTAAAGTCCCTTTGATAAAGCCACTTCCCATCGTCGATATGTTTAAAGCAAATTGCGATATTATGCGGAATTGGGCTTCGGCGTATGGAGCAGCATTGCGACAGCGGACAGTGTGCCAGAAGACGACCGTGACAAAACATGGCACTCTCCCCGAGTTTATATACCAATCATAGCTGTTGTTAAACCAGTGAATGACAGCGAACCACCCGGTTCTTTGTAAGACGAAGCACAACCAGTCGACATCATCGTCGACCACATCGATAGACAAACGATAAACTGCTAGTGTTAGTCACCACGATGACTAACTGTATAACCTTTTTTTGTGAAATAGAAAATGGACTTGAAGCAAAAAAACTAGATGAAGAAAGTCGCGAAATGAGAGGGAACAAACTGCGAACTTCATTATTTGTGGGAATACATTCTAACTTCAGAGGACGCAAGACTGACCTTAGGGAAACACTGTCGTATCACTTAGCAGCAGTAACTTCTTTGGCTCATCTTAGCTGTCATGTATTTATAATGACGGAGAATGCGGAGAATGCGATTGGAATGTCTTGTAATGTGTTTCTCGTGTTTGAAAAGTAGAAGTAATGGTATTGACGTTTAAAAAAAAAACATTTAGACTAGGTAAATTTTGCGGTGTCGGTGTGTTGATAATATCTCTTGCGGTGATGCGGTGTTTGTTCTATTTTGTTTGCGGTATTGCGGTATTGAGAACCCTCATGTCTCCCTCCGTATAGTACACATCGCGAGCACTGACACTTTCCGAGAGAAACTGGGCCCAGATCGAAAAGGAAGCCCTATCTGTTTTGTATTGCCTAGAGAGATATGACCAGTCCACGTATGGCAGACCTGTAAAAGTTGAGAATGATCACAAACCTCTGGCTGCCATATTACGAAAGCCTTTGAGCCAAGCACCCAAGCATCTTCAGGACATTAAGATGCGGTATCACAGATACGATATCCATTTTGCATTTGTTAAGGGTACTGACTTGCTCGTTGTTAACACACTGAGTAGAGCTTACTAAGAAGAAGGCGAAAATGACCATGATGGCCGTGCTCGAATCATGAATGTCAAAGTTTTTGGTGACATCCCAGACAAGCGACTTGATGAGATACGTGACGCGACCTCGTGTGATTCTAGTCTGCAGGCTGTGATGAAGTTAGTGTTGGAAGGATGGCCAGCAGGTAAGCGTCGAACTCCTGTGTGCGCGTTGCCATATTTTGATATACGTGTAAGTGTAGTGGATGGAATTCTGAGTAAAAGGAGAAGCAATTGTGATTCTCATGGCTCTGAGACCATCAATCAAGAGAAGAAGTGCCCATCTAGGCCGTGATAGTATGTTGCGTCAAGCCCGAGGAACAGTGTACTGGCCCAACATGGCTTCTGACATCAAGCAAATAGCCGACATGTGTGAAACATGCCAGGAAATGAAACCCCGAAATTCACCAGAACCACTCAAGCAGCACAGTGATGGCGACGAACCGTGGCAAAAGATTGATATTGATTTATTTGAAATTGCCGGAAAGCACTATTTGGCAATGGTAGACTACTACTCAAATTTCATGGAGATTGATTTACTCACAACGATGACGAGTGTACGTATTGTAACATTACTCAAGAAACATTGCGCTCGTTATGGCATACCGAGAATGATTGTGTCGGATGGAGGTCCGCAGTTTACCAGTCACGAATTCAATTCATTTGTGGACTCATAAAGCACGCTACAGTAAGCCAATCAGAATCCCTGTTGGAATGGTTCAAATAATCCGATTGGCTGTACAAGACTAAAGCTGTCAAATATGTCAAACCATCAAAGTTTATATTCTGCAATAGTTTACAAACTAACATAGTTCGGCATGTCGAAATTAACAATTTTGCCTGAAGTTTTTTAGTTTCTAATACAGAATCTGAAAGTGAAATGTTCGGTGAAATTCGGCCCAATCGTGGCTCACAAAAATTCGCAAGTTATTTCACATGACATGTAGAAAACAAATTGGTTTTCTGTTTTGTTTTTGAACACGAAATCTTATATACTATACAAGTTTAGCTGTGTTTGATTTTTATTACCGTATGTAAACTTGCAATCTACCTAAAACCCTTAAAACGTGAAAACCTTTAAAGCGTGAAAACCTTTAAAGCGTGAAAACCTTTAAAGCGTGAAAACCTTTAAAACTCGGACTGTCCAATTTGTTTTATCTTTGAGGATTTTTGTCTCTGCTCATGTTACAGTAACGTAAATGACTGCACCTGGCATTTTTGCGAACCTTTGCTGGCTTGTTCCGAAATTTCACTTTCAATTAACGAAAGAAAAGCTAGAAAGAAGTCCCGGAAAAGGTCGGACATAGTACAATTTGGCAGACGGCGTGACAGCTTTAGCTCAGTTCTGTGCTCTATACTCTCATAGAGCACACTCTCTTAACCAATAACAGCACGCGTTGTATCCGAACTTTGTTATAAAATCGCTTAGTCCAGTTACCAGATGTTGTTTTCGCGCCGTAGCACAGATAAATTTATTCGTGCACACTTCTAGCATGAGCTATTGGTAAATCTGACAATTAACTTTTCCTCGTTCATTTAACAAAACTTTCCGAGAAGTTTTTTCGGAATATATCCATTGTTTACGTTGTCAGTGCACGAGAATTCACTTCAGCAAAAGGATCAAACAATTTAATAACAGTTTATATTGCCATTGATATTTAGTAAAGAAAATAAAAAATGCCATATGACCGTCTCAGTGCAATTATATATTATGGTACCCCTTGGTTTATATTTTAAAATGAAACAGGGGAACAGTTCTTGTTTCTTAACTCACTGTATTGAAACTGAACTGAATAAATATACACAAGCCTGTCTGGCGGAGAACACGAAACCAACTATCAGAACAATTACAGAAATGTTTCGACTCTAAAGATTATGCCAAATGAAGTCTTTCACTGCATTTTTCGTACCATTGGCGGGTTCAAAGTCCCCATCATCACTTTAATCTTGACCATCAGAATCACTGCCATCGAAATCTTAGTCGTCGTTCATTAAATTGAAGTAATCGTCGTGATTCATCGATGGACCGTTTATTTCGATATGGCAGCCGTCGATTACACCAACAATTTGGGGTATGCCATACTTCGAAGTCGTCAATGACATATTGGATTTCTTCTCTGATGACTGGGAATTGTATGAACTGCTATTTTCATCGGCAGAGTGCTTTCTCAAATTTTTCGCAGATAAATTTAGCGGTCGATTTGCCATAACCAAATTTCAAGCCACAACTCCTGAAGGAATTGCCAATAGTGATACGCCAGAAAAGCCAGTCCAACTCGTTCCTCTACACTAACGGGGGCTCTCATTCGGGTATGTCGTTTTTGGAGATCTGGACTTACGAGGTTACAAATGTAATCGAAGGTTGGCCGAGAAACGTGAAAATGCTCCTTCCACAGAATATCTAATGCCCGACTTCCCAACAGAACTCTACACCAGTTCTGTGGTCGTGGCCATACCTAAGCTCTTCTTCTTAACCTCTGGTTCTTTAACAGCGACTGATTTTGAACAAGGAGCATTAACAGGCGCCGTCGTTGTCGCTAAGAATTATGTAAGGTTTCTTCTCGCGGAGAAAATACGTGGAGAAGGCTTAGTTGAATAAAACTAGCTCGTCTTACCAACAAATTGAACGAGATAAACATTAACGTGAAAATAATCTTCAACCTTCGTGGTCGCAAATGATCAGTCTGGCATTAAAACCAAGAACTGCAGCGATTTTCTGCGAAATATGATTCCACAACTTAGAAAATTTTTCCACGAAAACTGTATTAAAGTTATGCCTACATGTGAACGTGTGAGCGTTGTTTCTACAGAAAACTGAAGTGCTCTTCAAGTACGTTCTAGGTGCACTTGGACTCAGGTCCACTTGAAGTGCAGTTGAGGGTCTACTGTGAACCCACCTATTGTTTTAGTATATACCAAGCAGATAGGTGTTCACATCCATGGAAATCTTTCTTGGGAATGTCATATTAACGAAATCTCTAAGAAGATTGCTTCTGACATAAGTGTGATTAAGCGTATTAGGTATTTTCTCCCTTT